AAACTAATTTAATCAAAATAAATTAATTTATATTTATTTATTGAAAACTTGATTTCAGGAGAACACTAAATAAGGGTACAATGGTAAACTTATAGAGTTTCTTAAGGAACGTGAAATCTAAAATGATGACAACTAAATAAGAATAGAGGGAATATTGGTTACGAAAATCTTGTGTTGTATATTGGTTCAATATTTATTAATAAATTTATTTTTAAATGATATTACACCGGTCTCATTAAATGTAATATAAATATATGATAAATATTATTAATATTAATTATTTAAGTGATATTAATTAAATGATTTATAATATTTTCTCTAAAATAAAAATTTAATCCGAAGAGTTCTATTGTAGTGCCAATAATTAAAATATTTTTCTTCATCAATTGTTGATTTCTTATTCAAAGTAGTTACAAAATTTATACAAATATTACTGCTTTCAAAGTATTAAAGCTACATAACTAAATAATATGAATTTAAAACTAAAGGACATAGCTAAAGTGGGTCCAATAATTTCAAAGAAATTCTACGCTAATTACACTTAAGTAGAACCAAAAAACCCCCATTTTTTCTATAAAAAAAATAATCAAAAATACGCTCGTTGAAGTAAGCACGTCGACAAAGATGAGTCTGCTCCGCCTCAAACTCTGTTATATTACAATAGAACTGCTTCTGCCTCGATTTTAGTGATGTTAATGAATATGAAGTATTACTCGTTCTGTTTATTTTTACTTGTCTCCAACACACTCGTGACAAAATATATTAAAATAATATCAATATAAAATAAAACTCAATAGTAGCTAAATAATGAATTGGAAAAAAAAAACCGACTCTGATTTCATGATAAAAATAATAATTAATAGGCATGAAGATTGACACCTTTCTAAGTCCTAGTCCATCTCCAATAACACAAAAAGCCACTCCACAAAAACTCAATGGATAATGACTTAAGGAGTATCTTTTATTTTGTAGACACAAAAAAGGGAAGGAAAATGCAAGAATGACCATACCATGAATTGACTTTTATTGTATTTTATAATTTTTTTTTATTTTTTTTAATAAGAATCTTTATTTTTATATATAAGAAATCTAAAAAAATTGTTTTTTTTTATATTCAAAGTTTACATAGAGTGAAAGGTAAAAAATAATACATAAAATATTTTGATTTTTTGAATTATACTTAAACTATTAATTTGTTCACTTTTTCTAATGGAAACATCACTATGATTCAGGTAGGAAAAGTGAACAATTATTAATTCATGTGTGTTTTGATAAATATTTGGTAATAGTTCAAGTAAAAAAACTCACTCACATGATAGTTCAGATGTAAAATTTAAAAATTCGGAATACTTTAAATATATTTTTACTCATTAACATAATCATAGAAGATTATTTCCTCTTCAAAGCTATTTCCTTTCCTTTAAATTTATGTAGCATAAAGAAAATGTAATTAATTTGCATGAAAAATAATTTATTTTGTAATGTTTATTTTTATTATTTTTTTGTTTGAAATAGTAAGTATGCAAAATTGTCAATACCAAAAAAAAAAGGTGTAATAATCGTTTAGTGCATCAAATAATCTAATGCTAGAAATCATATCACTTCCCTTAAAAGAAAGAAAATGACTTATATCAGCGTGATAGAGATTTTACTTATAAAATAAAGTTGCTTTAGCTATAAAGACATATCAACATTATTGATTTTGGTATAGCATAACTTTCTGTTTTAATTTATTTGTCGTATTTTTTAAAAATTTGTGTAAAAAATAATATTTTTTTCTTTTACTTTACATAATATGTTTAAGATCACAAAATTAAAAAGATATACATTTTGATATATTTTACATATCTAGTCACAAGTATGTTGGAGTTATACTATTTACATTTGATTAAAATTACTTTTTTTTGTGTGTTTAAACTATATATATTTGACATTGAACCTTTTTGACTTCTTTATATATTTATTTTTTTATATTTTAAACTTTCTTGATAAAAAATTAAAAATTATAACTTTATTACTATTTGTATCAAATTAAAACTGGACAAATAAATCAAAACAGATAAGAGTATAAATGTATTTCACATCAAGGAATTAACTTTTTCAAAATAGAACAAATTAAAGTGACAAGTACTACTTTCTTTTTGATGATTTTCTTGAAATTCCCTGACCACATATATAGTTCAATCTTATCCTCTTGGTTCTAAAGTCGTCCAAATTAAGTTGATTTTTAATATATATATATATATATATATATATATGTGTGTGTGTGTGTGGGGTCAGGGAATTTCAAGAAAATCATCAAAAAGAAATTAAGTTGATTTTTAATATATATATATATATATATAGAAATTCATTATAAAGTAAAATTAGTTAATTTGATGAGAAATATTTTTCTGATAGTAATAAGTTCATGCTATCTAATTATTGAGATTTCTTCACCTTTTTATTAGATATTTTGAATTCGATCTCCTAAAATTATTACAGCGTTTTTCGCCTAGAAATGAGTTTTATAAAGAGAAATTCAAGTTTGATCGCATTCCAATATATTGACAAAGGGAAAAAAGAAGTTCATACCATGGGCCAAGAGCCCAAGACCAATATGAACAAATTTTAAGACCATAGAGATAATATCCATTAATTAGTCATTGACTCATTGCACAGCCTTTTAACTTTTTTTTGGGCCCCAAAAATTCTCAACTACTCTATTACTATAGAGAATTTGTAGTGTTCCAAAGAAAGAATATGGAATCAATAAGCACATATATACATGGTCATTTACATATACTTTTATTATTTAAGTAATAGTAATAATTAGTTAATACACAATATTTTTATGAGCAACTTTCACATATAGCAAACATAAAAATCATATTTGTATGTTATAGCTATAGTTTGCATAATTGTGCTTCATAGCAAACATATAATATGTATATTTCGCTATACATATACAAAAGAAAGCAATTGTATAATTTGTGTCGGTATACATATACAAAAGATCAATTGTATAATCTGTGTTTGTATAAAGCGAGAAAGAGAGAAAGACAAAAGAAAACTGGGCAGGGAAAGACCGTATTTGTATAATCATAAGTGTATAGGACGAAAATATATGCATTTGTATTTGGATATGCAATTTTCTCTCGCTTTATACAAACACAAACGCAGTGTATACATTTGTGTTTGTATAAAGTAAGAGAGGCAAGTGAGAGTGGTGAGCGAGATCTGGGAGAAGGGAGAGAGGGGAACGAAAATATATGTATATATACAATTTTCTCTCGCTTATAACAAACACAAACGCATTTTATACATTTGTGTTTGTATAAAAGCAAGAGAGGCGAGGGAGACTGCCCAGCGAGAACGAGAGTGGCAAGCGAGATTCACCAGGAGAGAGGCGAAATAACAATAGTTTGCTATGGGGTACAATTAAATCAAACTATGATTTATAACATTTAATTTGAATTAATAGTTTGCTATTATATACAATTTTCCCTATTTTTATCTCAATATATCATTTTGTTGAGCTAAAACAGTTTTAAAATACCTTGAATATGATTTAATATTAATATTATCTGTTTTGGATCAAACTCACACAAGTATCTCCAAAAAACTTCATATCATTAAGGGTGTCTGATTTCTATTTTTTTTCATATCTTGTTGGTTAAAACGTTGTGAAAAACATTTTCTCTAGAAACCCCCCCCCCCCCCCAATCCCCCACCCCCGAATCCCTACTTCTCACCTCATCTCACTTTTATGTATTTCGCTAATTAATTATATATAAATGCTTTTGAAATATTTTTAAAATTTACTTACCAAATATTAAAAGAAGTATGTCATAGTTATTATGTAAAATTATAAAAGTTTTTCACTAAAGTTAACATGCAAAATGTAAATTTTTTTTTTTTAAATTTAGAAACATATTATTCTTTTAAAATGAAACACAAATAAAAGAGTAAAAAAGCATTTGGACAAGTTGTTACACCCTCCGTTTCATTCTATGTGTCACTTTTCAGATTTCGGGATTTAAATAAGTCTATCTTTGATCGTAAATTTTTCATAGATCTTTTACATTTTGAATTATCAATTATTGTGACTTATAGTATTTCTTATGTAGTTTACAAATATATAAATTTCATTTTAAAAAAATTGAAAATTTCGTACGTAAATTTCCGATCAAACTTAAACTGTTTGACTCTCAAAAAATGAAAAGTGTCATATAAATTGGAATAGAGAGAGTAATATTTAATAGAACATGTGCCTCTTTTAGTTTTTAATGTATCATTAGTCCTTTATCGATAAGAATTGATTCACGTGAAACAAAAAGTAAAAACAAAACTTACCAGATGTCTTATTACTATAATATAGTAATTCATTATTAAGAGATTATAATAATTAAAACACATTAGAACTATCATTTTCTTTACGAGTTTCACAATTCTAATTTTCAGTAGTTCCCTTTTACTATCTGAATGATAGTGATATATAAATAATGTAGAAAAAGATAATATTGATAATTAAAGTGTATTTTGATACATAGATAATCAATAGCGGAAACAAACTTTGTATTAAGGAGATTCAAAATATAAATAAATATACTAAACATACAAAAAAGTCAAGGGAGTTCAATATCAACTATATATACATAAAAAAATCATTTTTATCGTATATATACAATGTAATTTTTTGATGAAGACAAACCCCTTTCCAATACCCTAGCTAGCTCTGCCTCTGTAAATGACGATAGTTCAGATTATAAAAGAGAATAACTAATAGTCGAGATATGAAACTCACAATATATATCAAAATATGTTTTTTTACCATTAACTTATTATATAAGTATTTATATTTTTAAAAATAGACTATAGTACTAGTGTGGTTTTGCTAGATCTGCTCAGTAATTTAATTATAAATAAAGACCTTCCACCTTAAAGAAAGTTTTATCCCTTTTTTGTGCCTTCTAAATTCTACCATCTCTATCTCACACACACACACATAGTATTTCTCAATGGGAAGAGCTCCATGTTGTTCTAAAGTTGGAATGAAGAAAGGACCATGGTCTATAGAAGAAGATATGTTGCTCACTAATTACATTCACCTACATGGTGAAGGTAATTGGAGATCTTTGCCAATGCATGCTGGTAATAATTAATATGATATATTTGTTCGACAATGATTATGATATGATATGAGCTTAAATGAAATAATGAAGATTCATATCGTCAATCTTTACTTGTTTAGGATTGAGACATAGTTATTCTGATATGATACGATATGAGCATAAATGAAATAATGTAGATTCATATAATCGATCTTAACTTGTTGAGACCGAATTAAGCATAATATATAATTGTTGTTGTTATAGTAAACGTAAATAGTACAATAGGTTTGAATGTTTTTAGTGTATCAATGTTAGTTATTCATGTGCTCATGTTTGATGAGCTTTTTTTCTTATTTTTTTTCCTTTTATTTTTGATATTCAGGACTTCTTAGATGTGGTAAAAGTTGCAGATTAAGATGGGTGAATTATCTTCGACCAGGTATTAAAGGTAGATCTAGAGTAGGTTTTGTTGATTTGATTAAATGGCATTGAAAATTTATAGTGTGATAAACGATTGAATCCTCTTATAGTCAAGTGGCATAGAGAATTCAAAAATTGCTTTAGGTTCATTACATGTTCAAATTTCATGTTGGCTTTGCGATTGTTTATATATATGTTTTGAAATGTATACATATAATAAGATTGCATTCATTCAACATGAATACAATCTTATTCAAGCAATATACGAGGGATTAAAAAAAATAGAATATGACACCTAGGATTTGAACTGACTAGTGACTATTTTTTTGAAATATTACATATAATAAGTCAGTTTGCTCAACATAATTATAATGATTCTAAATTCTAAATTCGTCTATGTCAGGCATTAAGAGAGGAAATTTTAGTCCAGACGAAGATGATCTTATCATCCGTCTTTATTCACTTCTTGGTGGTCGATGGTCCCTAATAGCTGGAAGATTGTCAGGGAGAACTGATAACGAGATCAAGAATCATTGGCACACTAATCTCTCGAAGAAACTCAAGGCATTAGGAATCGAACCAAAATCTAAAAAATCCACTCCAAAACGAACTACTAAAAAGAAATGTAGACAAAACAAAGAAGAGAAACGGCGAAGACAAGGTAAAAAGGCAAGAAAGACTGATAACCTTCTACAACAGGAGGTCGAAAAGCGTGAAAGCCGGATGGAAAAAGATGAAGTAGTTGGGAAGTTTCAAGTGCATATTCCAAAACCAATAAGGCTTATTCCACATGGATATTCATATTCTTCTTCAAGCAAAAGTGATTTTCAAGATAAAATTGGAGAAAATGATGAAATTTGTAAGAAATTTCAATTGTTTGATGAATTGCTGAATGGATGTGATAACAATATTTCAAATGAATGCTTAGAGGAAAATATGCTAAAGGAGGTTTACAAAGAATATTTTCAACTTATTTCTGAAATTTGAGATTATTCCTCAAGCAATTAATTAAATGTTTGATGTTAATTATGTTATTATGGTTTTAATTAGATTTTTTGATTGTTTGATTTTGGAGAAAACTAGTGTTGAATTTTTTTTTTTTTGGGGTGGGGGGGGGGGGTTGATGATTAATGGTATCCGACTAAGACTATTCTAGTCAAAAACTGAAGGAGAAGGACAACTCTGAATGTCAGGATAAGCCCTCCGTATCTAAAGATAGATGGCTAAAGGGTAGGTTCTGCAGTTAACTAAAAAGGCGATCGATTGGCTTGGAGAGGAAAGGAAACCCGAGACTGAAAACAAAAAGGATAGGAATGAATTGAATAAAGAAAGAATATATAGAACCTTGAGCATTTTCTCTTCTCTACAATGGTTGAGAGTAAAAAAAGGGTATCCGCATAGAAGGATTGCTGATATACCGGGTAGATGTTTATCTTTTCGACTGAAGGAGAAGGACAACTATGAATGTCAAGAGTTCACCCTCAGTCTCTGATCCACAACTTCTTCGTATGAGACACATGTCAACAGTGAGAACTCGTACTATGATCTATATGGTGCAAAAGTGTAGTATGAGTATCAAACACGTGATACTTAGTAGGCACAGGCCGATTGAGCTCCAAAATAAAGCAAACATAAATAGCAGGTAGAATATGAGTGTGTATATATATATATATATATATATATATATATATATATATATATATATATTACAAGTAGCTAGAGAAGAGATAACACGCAATAAAAGTAGAGACAAAGAAATGTACGATGAATGATACGGGTATATATATATATTACAAGTAGCTAGAGAAGAGATAGCACGCAATAAAAGTAAGTAGAGACAAAGAAATGTACGATGAATGATACGGATAATTAAGAAAGAAGAATATATCTGGAGGCGCTAGTTACAAAACCTAACCACAAAAAAATTCTACTATGGAAATCAACTAAAAATATTTCTAATTTTTTTATCGGTAGTATTGAATGCCAAACATCATTTTTGGTACTTCCAAATTCATAACATTTACTCAAATAACTTTTGAATGTGAATTGAGTTCATATATTATATCTTTATATAGTATTAAAATCAGATCTATCTCTATTTGATCTCTAGATTCATGCTCCATTAAAACATCGACTTAAAAATAATATTAGAGTGAATTAAAGTACCACGTAAAAGACGGAATAACTAAAAAAAATAAGAATAAAATTGTCACGCCTAGGTGGAATTTTATATACTAAAGTGGCCGACAATTTCCCTTCTACATAAGGTCCTTAGATTCACCAAATACACCTTTCTCCAAAAGAAACTTTTCCTTATTCTCTTTGTTCTTTTATAGAATGCATAAAGGTTTGGAATTCTTTTCTTATCCAAGGGCACAATCCTATCTTATTTTCGATATCCTACTCTCGAACTTTTGATTTAGCTTTACCTTGTCCATATTTCTTCATATTTTTGAAGTTGAAAAAAAAGAAATTGAGTTACTTATTATCAATCGTTTTTCTTCAGAATTGTCTGAATGGATCGATGCATCCTTTTTATTTTAGCAATTTATTCAAAATCGCCTCGCCAAGAGCTCACGTGGAGGGGGGGAGGTGTTAAAGAAGAGTTCGACTTGTAATTTCATAACTACATGACCCAGTGGTGTAGCCACATATAGCTCAGAGTGGTCAATCAGATATCCTATATATATATATATATATATATATATATATCGGTCAAAAATTATTTTTTATTCATATACATTAAAACTTAGACACTCTTAAAAAAAATTCTGACTTTGTCATTAAGTCATAACCTAGTTATGTATTTATTTTCAATATTGCTAGTGTAAAAAATTAAACTCATACACATTAAATAGAAGAAAATTTCTCAACTTGTGGTATTAGTTTTCATCTCGCAACTCGAATGTACAATTTTTTTATTATTTATAGATATTAATTTTTAGTAAACAAGTAAAAGTGCATCGAGAGAACAAATAGGTAAGATAACTTTATCGACAACATTATCAAAGTTATATTAGCAAATTCTTTTAAGGTAAATTATTTAGTCAAGTCTATAAATTTTATAATACTTGTCTTAATTAATCATCTTTTTAGTTAGCTTCTCTTTCGGCGAGGAGATTTAAAGAACATTGTTTAAAAATAAAATGATTAACATCACTACAAACATATTTAATATATTTTTATACGTGGAATTTGAAGAGGATGAAGTATATGCGTATTTTATTTCTAATTTCATAGAATCGAAAAATTCAAAATGTTAAGCTGAAAATATCAAAGAAAGAAAAGTATGAATAATAATATACATTCTATAAACTACTATCTGTCTACAGTCTACCCTAATTCTCGACCTCAATGTTTTTCTATCTATGGTCATGTGCTCAGTAATGTGTAGATATATCGTGTTCTGTCAAATGCCCCCCCCCCCCCCCCCCCCAATTCTTCTTTGATTTATTTCTACCTCTCCACAAACTTATCACTTGTCAACCTCTCACACTTTCTCACTAGGACATTCTTGCTTCTTAATTTACATGCACATCAACTACTCTCGCCTTGCTCCATATATCTTCATTCCTGATCTTTCTCATTTAATATACACGCACAACCATCTAAGTATTCTCATTCTGCTACCTTCATTTTCTAAATGTGAACTCGTGATTGATTAGTACTTCACCCTGTACAACATAGTCGATTTAACAACTACTCGATCTATTGAATTTACCTTTGATTAGATTTCATTAGTAATATAACAACTATTTACATTTTAGGCTTAATAAACAATACTGACAAATTTAGTGTTAAATATAATTACTTACCTCAGCTAGCCATCGTGACAACCTTGACATATTGTCCTACTTTTATCGTTGGAAGATAAATTACTTTTTGAATTATAATAAATCTAACACAAGTGGTGTAATTAATTAATTAATTAATTAAGGACTTCATAATTAATACTATCAAGTTGCTATATTAATTAATCTACTTTTTTCAAAGTAGTGATTGCCATATGCTCCAATGGTTTAATGAATCTTATCTCAATTAATTAATAATTAATAGTTGATTTATTTAATTGGAACGTGTTACCCTTTTCGGAATTCAATGTTTTAATGGATTTTTTTTTTTTATATGAGTAGCAACAAGTTGCTTGATTACTTTATTACCCTTTCATAGCTAAGGAGGTGCAGTCCTTTTTCGAACCCTATGTCAACATATACTCCATTAACATTCTTGTTCGTTTTGGATCAAGTCTGCATGATTACTCAGAAAACCTCACGCCATTAAGGACTTGTTTGATACGAGGGATAAGGGATAACTAATCCTGAAATTAATTTTATAATGAGTTTATCCTATGTTTGATTGGAATAAAATCGCGTAATAACTTATCGAGTTATCCTAAAATTGTAGTGTTATTGTTATTCTCACATTAAGGGTGGATAATTAACCTCGAAATAACTTGTTCCCCAACAAAACGAGCTCTAAAAGTATTCATATACTTTATATGTAGCTACCAAATCTTTTGATCACTATTAATATGGGACTTTGTTTTTGCACCCAATATCTCCCCCTCGAACTAAGTTCAACGCGGTCCATCACCATGATCCACGAGTCAATTTCCAAGATTCAATATGTGTCACCTACTAGACCGAGCATTTATGACCAACAAAGCTTAGAGCTAGCTTCTTTATTTGCACGTGCATTTCCGAGCTACCTTTGTTATGGTAAAGGTAGTAAACCAAGCCCATGCTATTCACTCCACCATCTCAATACTCGTCTCATCGACCATTAACTCTGATACCAGTTGTTGGAATAAGACACTCCATATATATTCTTTAGGTTAAGCCAACATAGTTTTCTCAAAATAACCTCACCCCGTTAAGAGAACCTCCTACATACACTTGTTACAATACTGCTACACTAAGAAGGTGTCTGATGCCCATCACAACAACAGCAACATTACTATCTTTAATCTCAAACACATGATTAGTATCGACTATATAAATCTTCACCGACTCCAGATAAGTTCAACTCTAATATTGTATGAAGATAACATTGCTCATCTGCAAAGGATGAGACCTCAGCTAGTATGTCCAATGAAAAGATATTGAACGATACATTAGTAGATATCGAAAATTTAAGAAAAAATCGACAAATACTTAGCACAAAATGATGGAATGCCACTCCCAGATCCTTCATTGTTGTCAAGTCAATCAAATAGACGATTACATGCAACTCGAAATATTGAAGGTCACACAACAACTTACAAAACCACAACTAATCCTATCGAATACTATTCGATCAAAAGATTGGGGAGCATGTTATTCTTCAACTTGGCTGAACTAGGAAAACATTATTCGTGGAGAAAAGTACACGACATACCTCCTGTTTTCATCGTCTCCTCGATTTGGATCAACTTATGACACTGGTCGGGGTATTTTGGCGAGTGAGGCTTTGATTTTCTCTTCTGAGAATGACAAATCAACCAAGCTTCCCTGCAAATACTTATCATAAGATGACAAATCAAAATGTCCATGTCCACACATTGCCATGAGTATAACTTTCGATTCTCCAGTCTCTTTACATCTTAGAGCTTCCCTTATAGTAGCGGCTATAGCATGCGTTGGTTCTGGTGCCGGTATCAACCCCTCAGACCTTGCAAACTGAATAGCACCTGAAACGGAAAAATTACATAGTTGGCGTTTGGACAATATTTTATCAAGTTAACTTAATAGACGAATGAAAACACATGCAAAAGTTTTTCCCAAACTTGAACTGAAAGTGTCTAATTGGAACATGACTTAGCTCGAGTGTCTGAATGGAATATCTTGACAAGTTTAAGGGGTTGGCTCTGTATTATGCCTTTTCATTATATACTAAATGTCAAAATGGCGAAAGTGAGTACTTAATATGACGGAAGTAAAGATACCTTGGAAGCATTCAATCTGCGGAATTGATATTGCTTCCATGAATCCGAGTTCATAGACGTGTGATATCAATGGCGCCATGCCATGGTAACGGAGACCCCCTGAAAATGAACTCAAATCTTTATAAGAAGTAGTAAAGGGGGATAAATTTAACCATCCTACGCGACAAAGGCTTACCGGAATGGATGGGATCCGGTATGAAGTCATGACCAAGTGTATGCATTTTCATTAAAGGAGTCATGCCTGCTGTGTCTCCATAGTCGTAAGCATATACACCTTTCGTCAACGAGGGGCAAGCTGTAGGTTCAACCGCTCTAAAAAGAGGATTGATTTTCCCCTTAAGCTTCTCCCGGATAAACGGGAAAGCAAGTCCTGCAAAATTAGATCCACCCCCGGTGCAACCGATGATCACATCTGGAGTCTCTCCGAAATCTTCCATCTGTTTTATACACTCCTCACCGATAACGGTCTGATGTAACAAAACATGATTGAGAACACTTCCCAAACAATACTTTGTGTCTGTATTCTTAGCTGCAACCTCCACAGCCTCTGAAATAGCTATTCCTAAACTTCCTGGACTTGAAGGATCCATTTGTAGAATAGCCCGACCTGCCTCTGTAAGGTCGGAAGGAGAAGGATGCACCTTCGCACCCCAAGTTTGCATCATCATTTTACGATAAGGTTTCTGATCAAACGAAGCTCGAACTTGCCATACCTGCATTAAAAATTCTAGATCAGGGGCAGAGGAACCCCCTCATTGAAAATGAACACGTAAACACTATAGACACATTTACCTCACAATTGAGACCAAATAAGCTGCAAGCAAACGACAACGCGCTCCCCCATTGACCTGCCCCAGTCTCCGTGACCACATTCTTAACATTCCCCATTTTATTGTACCAGGCCTGAGGAACAGCAGAGTTGGGCTTGTGTGACCCTGCCGGGCTACCACCTTCATACTTGTAATATATTCGTGCGGGTGTATCAAGCAGTTTTTCCAACCTCTTTGCTCTAAATGTTACCACCACATGTTAAGAATTTTCGCGATATGAAAGTTGATACTTCAAAAAAAAAGAACAGAATACGAACCTAATCAAAGGGGTTGGGCGCCAAAGACTGTAGACGTCTAAAACTTCTTCTGGTATATCAATAAACTGCTCGACACTTGCCTCCTGCTTAATCAACTCATCACAGAAAAGCGGAGATAAGTCCTCCGGTTTGATAGGCTGAAACGTCTTGGGATGCAACGACGGAGGGGGTTTGATTGGAAGGTCTGCAACTAGATTGTACCACTGACGAGGGATTTCAACAGAACTCGAACGAGAATTAAGAGCTGCATTTGCTCTGGCTCTATAGCTAAAGGAAAGCTTCAATTGACTTGGCTTAGTTTTAATCTCAAAATACTTTGTCCCATAAGCATCACCTGAAAAGTAACATATAATTAGATTAAGACCATAACGGTTAATTTTTTCGTGTTGTAAAAGATTTGAACAATAAAAATAGATGGTTAATGCCTGATCGAATTGATCATGCCATGTAGGAACAAGGTTCAAGTCTACCGGTCTGTTAGAATGCCTCACTGCACTTCCACTTGACACCTATCTTAATGATAAATGGCTCATTCTCGCCATGACCTTCACACCTCACTGCACTTCCACATGTTGGAATACGAGCTCACAAAAAACCTTCTGTCACTCTAACCCCGCAGGGCCAGAGAACCCGTCGCTGTGTAGGCTGTGATTCCGGAAGCTCTAGGGAAGTCGGGATAGGAGGGTACTTATTCTCAACATTCAACGATTCCATCATCGCCCCACATCACTCCCAACCGAGGATTTAAACCTACCTAAAACTACTACTACAAAGTATTGAAAATTGTATTTACTCTTTCTATTTCATCCTAGATTATTGCAGCAAATAGCAGAATCGTGGCTAAGGAACTATATTGCCCCTTTTCTCTCCCTAAACATCTCACTCATATAAAACTCCATTATTTCGAATCAACAACGCTAAATTTCATGGAAAAAATGACTTATTGTTTGTCTAAGCAAATCAAATTACTAAAACAACTAGTATTCATCACCAAACACATCAAATTGATTTTTTTTCACTAATAAATACTTGTTGATTCATTTATCTCATGGACTATTATTTGCATACTTTTAGCCTCATTAGAACTAATCAAAATCAATCAAATCTGAAAATAATACCTAAAAGTCAATTAACCAAACAACATTAGCTAAATCAATAAGAACAATCATTTCCCAAAACAGATCGAACACTACAAAATCAAGAACAAATCAATACTCTAAAGTACCCAAAACACAATATATATATATATATATAAACACAATTTTTTTTTAAAAAAAAACACAATTAAATCAACTTCAAAGATGAAATTATTTTTTTTTTTTAAAAAAATACTGACCTTTTGGAAACAGATTTGGGAGGGATAGTGCCATTTCTACAGAACCTTCCAAATATTTGCTTGTAGAAAATTGGATACTGAAACACTAGTACACTAGTATACTACTACTAAAAATAGAAAAAATTGTCAGTCTCGACTAATTTTAAGGGACCCTTTAGACTATGACTGAAATTTCAGAGATACACTTTAACTTATTAACTAAGGTTTTATTACCTCTCCAAATTCATTTTTTTTGTAATTTTTGTACACCTTTTGGCTTACGTGGCATATTCCGTGACTCGCCGTAGTTGGCGCGAGTGAGAGATGTTTGGATACCACGTAAGCTAAAAAGGTATACAAAATTACCAAAAAAATTGAGGTTATGAGAATAATAGTAAGACCTTATTTTAGTTAAGATGTGTATTTAAAATTTCAATCATATCCCTAATTTTAATAAATATAATAAAAAATATCTTTTTATTTCTTAAACTTCGTATCCGATTTAACACAAGAGGGTACCATTTTGTCACTAGGAGATTGACAGCCATAGATTTTTTGGGGGTGTTAATGAAAACAAAATAGTTTGGTGGAAATGATTAATTACGTTGACGATTTGGCAATCTATTTGTCTATCATTGACGAAACAAAATTTTGTCTTTTTTTATAGTTTATTTATTATTTTTTCGTTCACTTTTATTTTTAAATATTTTTTAATTTTATTTGTCATTTTTGATAATTTAGAAAATATACTTTTCTTTTTATTATATTTTCAATTTATTTACATTGAGTAAATATTTTTTAAGAATATGGTGAATAAATATATTTAGAACTTATTTATTAATAAAAATAAAAATGATAAATTCATTATATTAATTAATTTTTACTTTTTAAATAAATTTATCAAGTTAAAATTTGACAAATAAATTTAAACAGAGGGAATAGTTTCTTGGGCAAAGATAAATTTAATGTCTAGTTCCTTTGTTTTTGTTTGTTTTTTCGTTTTGTTACCAAATCAATGTATCAAACCTTTTTTTTTTGGTCTTGGGTCAATAAAATCATCATTTAAAATTAGATCAATTTAAAGCTGCAGTTTTGTTTATAGTTTATACATGTGATTTGAATTTTTTATATACTATTTTGTTCTCGTAACTATAAAAAGATTATGAAAATTATTAAAATTCTCAATTTTTATAACCGTCATACTAAATAGCAAATCACGGTGGATAATCTCTTCAAGTCAAGCATGCATGAGTATTCTGTTTTTGCAAAATTTAAAGTGATGAATTTTTTATTTTTTTTTACAAAATATAAAATTATGAGTCGATTTTATATATTTTTTAAATTGAAATTATGATCTCAAGTTCAATAAAAGTTTATCTTCTTTACTTCAACTTTATTGATACGTCCTTGTACTTGAAGCGATCATTGTGAATTGGACCATCTTGACAATCACATAAAGTATGTTTTTTTTTTTTAATTACAAATTTAGAATTTCTAGAATATAGATGTATTATTAAAACAAATATATATCTATATTTTTTCAACGATGATATTATGTAACCTTCTAAATTAGTGTAAGCCTGGAAAAAGACCATATTACCCTTTGTATGTGTGTTTGTGTGTATGCAAATGTGCATGTTAAGATTTCTTTTAGAACCAACAAAAAGTGGCAAATTAAGTATATTGTCTGCAAGCTAGGTATATAATTTTTCACCTAAAATGAGAAAAGCATAATATACAAGTTTTCATAAAGAAAACTTTATCTTAAGGAAAAGAAGATACCAAAACCTTCTCCACCAATTATAACTAAGTATACTTCAACACATGCACCTATCCAAAGAGGGGAAAAAAATATTTCTTTGGACTTCTTCTAATGTTGTTACTCTATCATGATTTCCTAGAGCTCTTATTTCAAGAATTGATGATATCGCAGATTCAATAGCATTGATTATGAATCTCATGATCAAGAACATTAAAAAAGAGAGAATTGTCTACTCAGATTATCGTATCAACAATGAGAGCAGTAACAACAAATAGTTTGTAAAATACAGATCAACAAGCAACGTTATTTCACAAGATCAATCACACAAAGTTGATCTCTTGCTTGCTCCTCCAACTCGTCCGTCCTCCCAATGCCAAAATCATCAAGCAACGAGAGCAGTAACAACAGATAATTCGTAGAACATAACAAACAACTAGGTATTTTTTCACCTCCCTCCTATTCATCCGTCCTACCAACAATGCCAAAGCCCGTTTTAGGCCCGGAAAGACGCACCAACCCTTTAATTTGGTGTGTTGCCCTACTTTGCACCTTCATAACCCTAGCCGTGATCATCACTGGCATCATCGTCTTCATCGGATTCATCATTGTTAGGCCAAAAGTTCCACAAATGAGTGTGGCAAGTGCAAATATAGACACTTTTGCCTATGACATGTCTAATCTCCTATCAATCAAGGTGTCAATTGTGATCAATGCTGAAAATGACAATGTAAAAGCCCATGCAACTTTCTATGAGACAATTTATACACTATACTTTCATGATGTGAAAGTTGCATATTTAAGAGCTGACCCTTTTGATGTATCTAAAAATAGTACAATCCCATTATATTATCCTGTGGAGTCAACGTCGATCGCGTTGACTCCACAGGAAGGAGCAAATGCTGAGGTGGCATTAAATCAAAGACTAGTAGTTCTTGATCTTAAAGGAAGTTCAAGGACTAGATGGAGATTAGGGTTAGTTGGTTCTGTTAAATTCTGGTTGCATCTTAATTGTAAGCTTAAGCTACCATTAGATGGAAGAACTATTTACCCAAAATGTAACACCAAATCGAGATAATTCGTGTTTAATTCAGACTAAGTTTTATGTTATATACATCGTCAGTGTAATTAAGTTATATCGTATACATGGTTAATGGTTCTTGTTTTCCTTTTTGTACATCCTAGAACTTCTTTAGATTAATGTAATGAGATTCATTAAGAAGTTAATATAGTACGTGTTTGTTAATTTATTTCTATTGTTTTCTACAATTTTTTATTTTTCTAAGCTTGGAAATATTAATAAGCCTGTTTGACTTGGATTTTGAATCCAATTATTTCATTGTTTATTTAAAATAATAATTATTTATATTCAGAAGATGAAAAAAAGAGTTACTCTATTAGTAAAGCTATAAGACAATTTCTTTGTGTAGTTAGGTACGCAGACATTAATAAATAAAGTCAAGTGTAAAAATTAGGCAAATGACATAGTATAAGAAAGAAATTACTTCCTTTTCCTACTCTTTCATTAATTACCAAAAATCTCTTTTTTTAGTGTTTTTCGGATACATAATATAGCAGTGTGGATACTTAATATAGCAGCGCGGATACTTTAATTAATAACGGGCGGATACTTACATTATTAAGTTGTTAGCAACACATATACCTAATTAACGGGCGGATGCATAAGATAGCAGCGCAGATACTTTAATTAATAACGGGCGGATACTTAAATTATTAAGTTGTTAGCAGCACGGATACTTAATTAACGGGCGGATGCATAATATAGCTGTGCGGATACTTTAATTAATAACGGGCGGATACTTAAACTAATAAAGTATCCGGTTAAGTTGAATTGGGGGAAAATAAGGGATTTTTGTATTTTAGTAAAAGAATAGGGAAATATTGAGAATAGGTAAAGAAGTGTTGTGTATTTAAGTAATTTTTCCTAAAGTCAATGATGATTCGATCGGCCCACAATATTAGGAAGTCATGTTTTTTAACACTTAACCTAACTAAAAAGCCCATAGTTTCAATCTCAGCCCACAATAATCCTTACATTGGCTTAAATTGAAGGATAAACTACCTTATTAGACATACATCACTATTATATATACTAATATATCTTTACTTTTAAACAATTACATATATTACCACTTTTAGTATTTTATACCATATATTAATATATTATTTGAAAATACTATTAGATACCCATATTTCTTAAAACTATTATTGATTAATTATCTGCTTAAATAACTCTTTCACTCCAAATCAACCACTATCTCTTAATTCTCCCCTCCCATGTTTATCACTCAGTTATGTCTCCTCCTTTCTGATTCAAGAATTTCACCATACAATTTCATTTCAACAATAGTTAATCTACTCTCTTCTTCTCAAGATATCATCACCACAAATTCTCCTGAACCAAAATATCATTTTGTATTGTTCATTTATCACGAGTTTCAATCACAGTAACTGCTACAGAGAAAACTTTCAATTCATAGTGGGTCTTGATTGTTTGTCTCCGAAAGAAATGGATCTTAGTTTTGATTATGTTATGTCACAGTGCAAAAGGATCAAAGGGAATATTGTTGAGAGTTTTTGTTTGCTGGTGTTCTTCTAAGACTTTCTTTGGTTACTGTGATATGGATGTGGTAATACCAATATTACTTTGATATAGCCCTTGAAACATGTGTATCCAATAAGTAGTAATCTTAATTAAGATTCGAGTTGTATTTTTAGTAAAGGGGTATCTGAACATGTATATGTATCCACTATATATTAAATTTCGGATACATGATTTTTAACAACACAATGATATTAATGATACGACAGATACTCTACAGTCGTGATTTGTTCATAGATTCATGTGTTTCAACTACATTTCATATTTAGATACACATAATTAAATGTATATGCTTATTATGTATTTGAGATACATGTTTTTGGATATAACGTATGAAATTTAGATACACATAATTAGATGTATATGCTTCTTCTTTTTGTATATTCCATATTTAGATACACATAATTAGATGTATATGTTTACTGTGTATTCGAGATACATGTTTTTGGATATAACATATGCAATTGATACTTGATACATCAAATTCATACTAGATACATATAAAAGATACATGAAATTAATATATATATATATATATATATATATATATATATATATATATATATAAAATTAATACTAGATACGTATAACAAATACATGAAATTAATGCTAGATACTTCTATGATACATATGAATGTACTTGTATGACACTCATGTATCTAAATGTTTAGTTTGTTGGATTCATCATATATTGATAATAGATACATCAAATTAATGAATTTATTATTTTAAGAGTAATAATTTGAAAATAATCAAATTACATTACCAAGATATACATGTTTTTATCTTATATTAATAATATTAATGAATTTACTATTTCAAAGAATAATAAAATGAAATTAATTATCTATGTATTTTGAAAATCCTCAATTACTCCTCTAATTAAGGAAATAAGTTACAACCAATTAATTTAAATAAATAAATTTTGTATCTCAATTTTAAAATTCGACAGATACATGTATATCATGGATTCAGACTCATGTATCCTAATCATAAAATATGGTAGAGGAAGTAATATTTGAAACTATTGGGAATCTTAATAATTAAGACCTAAACTAGTGGGATTTATGTGATTTGCCCTAAATTGAATCCTAGCCCAAGTTGCTTGCATGGCGAATTAACGAGCACAAAACACGAGTAATGTTCGTATCTAGTCCAATAAAATATGAGAAAATTGAAGTACGCTAGCTAGTTAACGTTTGAAACATTGACATGAAATATACGACATAGTTGGAGTCGCGCTATTGAGGCAAAATGAAGATCAAGATGAGTCCCGAGCTTCACTTTAATTAGGGCACAGAGTCGTGTCATGAAACATGTTCAGTGGGTATTTCCATAGATATTTGATTAAATCAGTGAGAAAAAGTTAAAAAAGAAAAAATAATAATGTTATTTATCATATGAAAGAGAACTAGGAAGTATCCCACTATTTCAGTGAGAATTTATTTCCAACCGTGCATTTTTCCAATGAGCTGATTCTACGGAAAATGATAAGTGGAAAATCATATTATATAACACGAATATTACACTAATTCACGATGGAAAAAAACCTTGTTTGTGATAGTGTATGACACTAGAGAAGGTTAATTAGTTTGTGGTACTATGGGTGTTGCATGCACAAGCTATTTGTATGTTGTTGCGTTATAATTATTGCATATATTTCTACGTTTGCATAACATATCATATGATCGCGATCCAATTATATTCGAATTTAATACCTTCAAATTTATTTTAACTCGATCTAAATCTTGTATTGTATATATTTGATAGCAAATGGACATAGTATATTAGTTGTGTCATGATAAATCAAATAAGATTACTCTCTATATCCCAATAGAAAAATAAAAAGAAAGAAATAAAAACAGACTTAATTAATTAAAGGGTAAGAAAACAGTCACACAAAACAAAAATAAAAATACAACAATTTTAGAAGAAATAAAAGAAACACTCATTTTTGTGCTTTTACCCTTTGGACTAAAAAAACCAAAAAAACAAAAATGAATTTTGTAGTACTTCTACCTTCTACAACTTTGATTGTAGTTCTTGTCTCCCTTTATATCCCTTCGATAAAATAGTCATATTAATCATGAGGAACTCGGAGGAGTATCGTGCCCCATTCCCGGGCTATGTCCAGGAGTGACATATGGTATATCTTTCTTTTCGTACTTGCTTTTGGAACCGTTGAATGAAAAATTATTAGATGACAGACTTTTTACCTTTCGATGTGTAATTTCGACCGGAGGAGGAGGTGGAGGATATCTTGAAAATGACCTTGATGCATCTACCAACACAAATTGTTGAAGAGCAATAGAAATTATAAATATGTACAAAATAAACATACAAATGACTGTGTGATATGATAATATGGCCATTAAATTGAACAAAAATGCACTAAGCAAGATGGTTTGTTTAAATCTTTTTTTTGTTGATGTTAGCATACAATTAATATGGCTGCCTATTTAAGGTTATCAAAAAAGGTCACAACTGACCTGGTTGGTTTATAAAAACTTAGTACTATTTATTATATAATAAAGTTGATGCACACACATGATGTTGCTTTTTCAGAAAAATTAATGTAATAAAATTACCAAAAAGAAATTAAGGCCTATGAAGAATATTTTCTAATTTGGGAAAAGGACAACATTTGTCACTACCACTCGTTGAAATTCTAATAGACCTTTTAAGAAAGAGCATTAGAGCATGGGGACTTTGATTAGACATAAATTAAATAAAATAGAACCATTTGCTTTGTAATTTTGTGTGTAAGCTTTTTTTCATGTTTTTCTAGGGAAAATGCTCTGTCCACTATGAATTTTAACGATCAATTTGTTGTTTATAAATGTTTGGTCCAATCGGTAGGTCACAAGTTCGAGTCGTGTAGTCATGATGTTTGTTAAATTAGGTTACATTGTTTATATCGTAACCTTAAGGTGTGATCCTTCAACAAACTCTGCGTAAATACATAATGATTTCTAAAGATCAATTTGTTGTTTATATTTGTTTGTGTGTGATATGTAGGTCACAACTTCGAGTCGTGTAATCAGTCATATTAGTGTTTACTTTAAGGTAGATTATTCATAATTTTATATCACATACAAAAGAGGAGTCCGGAGCCTAAAGGGCAGAAAAAATTGACAAAAATTTCAAAATGGCACATCAAATTTTTTTCTAACCAAAAGGGTAAAATCGCTACTGATGCAACGATTTTGCTTTGACACCATTAACAGATCAAAATCGCTACTAGGGTAGCGATTTTGTCCATATTTTTTTTCCAGAAAATCGCTGCCCGTACAACGGTTTTGCGAAAAAAATTAAAAATTTATAGAAATCGCTGCCATGGCAGCATTTTTCGTTTTTTTTTTTATTTTCAAAATCGTTGTTGTTGCAGCGTTATTCCTTTTTATAAAAATCCCTTTCTTGGCAGCTTTTTGGTGGAATTTTTTTTTCCTGAAATTTCTGCCAATTAGTCAACATCAAAATGACTAAAAGAATTTTGTTTTAGAAAACGCTGCCTTGGCAGCGATTTTGGCGAAAATTCTTTTTAAAAAAAAAAAACAAAATCGCTGCCTTGGCAGCAATATTAATAAAAAAAATATTAAGAAAAGATTTCCACCAATTGGCAGAGATTTTTTTAATAAAAAAGTTTCCACCAAAAACGTTGTCAAGGCAGTGATTTTGTTTTTTTTTTTTAAAAAAAGATTTCACCAAAATCGCTGACAGAGTTTTCTAAATGAGAAATTTTTAGTCATTTTGATGTTGACTAGTAGGCAGAAATTTCAGAAAAGAAAAATCACAAAAAAAAAAAAAAATTCCACCAAAATGCTACCAAGGCATGAATTTTATTTTATTTTTTTAAAAAGGAATAACGCTGCAACAACAGCGATTTAGAAAATAAAAAAAATTACGAATGGCAGCAATTTCTATAAAAAAATAATTATTTTTTCACAAAAAACGCTGCACGGGCAGCGATTTTCTGAAAAAAAAAAAATTGGACAAAATCGCTGCCCTAGCAGCAATTTTGATCTGTTAACGGCGTCAAAGCAAAATCGTTGCGTCAATAGCGATTTTGCCCTTTTTGGTTAGAAAAAAATTTAATGTGCCCTTTTTCAAATTTTTTTCCCTTTAAGGCTCTGAACTCTACAAAAGGGTGTGATCCTTCCTCAAACCATTTGTGAATACAAAATGATTTTTAAGGATCAAATTTTTGTTTATATTTGTTTGTGTGTGATCTGGTCATAAATTTGAGTTGTGCAATTAGTCACTAATATTTACTTTAAAGTAGACTATTTACATCACATATCTTAAAAAACGACCCTTCCTTGAACCCTACGTGAATAGAGAATGATTTATCCAAGGGCTGCCTTTTTAATTTGTTGCTTGTATTTAGTAATGAAAGAGAGAGTTGAGACATAGAAAAATATTCTAAGTCTTCAACTTCTCAGAAATATACCTTTTTAAGTTTATCTCAGTTTTGTGGGGGCAGTAACATGTATATACTTTAGATTTAGTTATTTGATGTCATGATAAATAGCGAGCTGATAAGGACAAATCAAAGAGAAGAACTAACATATTTTTTAGGTTGATAAGATTTTAAAGACATGATGTATATGATATTTTAAATGAATTTCAGACCAAAATATATAATAGTACTCATGAAAAATGAAGAGTTTATAAAGCAGGATATAAATTTATATGGTATGAACACTTTTGAGCTCGGTAATGACATATTCAAGCCACTCATATTTCATAGGGTCAGTTGGGCTAAAACAAACAATACGTATCATAAGCTTGGACTATAACACTAACCTAAGAATCAGCCTATCAAGAGCCTTAGGTCCATTTCCACCTCCATTGATCAAGTGTACATTTTTTTAGCAATTTAAGTCAATAGTCTTGCAACTCATTGAAGGATAAACAATGAAAAGAAATTGAAATAGGTTCTTTGTTTATTCAAAATTTCTCATCTAATGTTAGGTATTTCCCTTCCGAATCGACTAATTTGGATTTGTGATAAAAAGTCCCATTATCAAAAGTGATCTCATTCTCATAACTCGAAGAACGTTTTCATAGTTCGATTATCCTTCTCAAAAAAATGCGATCCAATAAGAAAACACTATCTTAAAGTATTATTTTTACGATTTGAATTTGAAACATCTGATTAAAAATACATTTACGTCCCTCATGTGCATAAATGCCTTTATCCTTTGATTACTTTTTATGAACTTTTTACTCCTTTGCAACG